ACACACACACACACACACACACACACACACACACACACACACACACACAAAAACACACAAGAGCTTGCTAAACTTAACATCGAAGTGACGTTTCACACTTGGTAGTATTAAAATTGTTCTCCAACGCATTACGATAAAGATGAATGACAGATTACCTGCAAAGATCGCGAATTAAAGCAAGTCTTAATAAAACAGAGGATTCGCAACAACTAATTCGAGATTCGGGATGAGAGGGGAATAGGATGGAAGAGTAAATGAATAATTGCATATACTATATATTTACTCGAAATTTTACGAAAAAATGCTCTATCAACGATGTACACTTCACATTGTGAAGCGATGCAAGAAAGATGTAATAAAAAATTGCGATCTTTATGCTCCAGATAAATGATATTTTTTACATCCTTCTCACCCCGCTTCCTTTCCTCTTCCCTATTCCGCATCAAGAAACATCGCTCCGCAATGGTTATAGATAATCATATATTTCAAGGATGGAAATCGAATCGTTCGTTCTTTCGAGTTAGATGCAAATCGCCTTACTTCTTTATGCAACTCATATTTAATGACGGAACACTTCTTTTTTGTAGCATTAAACCTACTCGATAGGCATTAATGTTTATTGGCTCACCTCGATAGGCAGTGATTTATTAGAAGCTATTAGAAATAGAAATATTTTTTTCGCCATGTAGGGCAAACTGTACATTTCGATCGAGATTTAATTATATCCATCACGTAAATAACTATGGACTGCTGTATTCCCCTAATAAATTCATATTCTGATTATATCTCCTCGAAATTATCTATCTGTATTCCTTAAATTAATTTAACTCTAATTCTTAATTCGCAATTCGAAACAATTCTTTTTAACCAATAGCTTAAGAGAACTACATATTTTTATTCAATTTATCTTGATTATTTATATCAATTTCATTATGATATTAGAATTAGATTTCAAAAAGGATAGCGTCTCAAGCAGACAATTTACATTTAAAAAAGTTCGTCGAAAGATTTTTATGATGTATAAAAACGTTAAACAAATGTTATTAATATCAAATATGCACGTTTCAACGCATATTGTTTAATGTTAAAATATCGGTTTTATACGAAAAAAAAAATTAAATTAACGTTACAATTAAGAAACATTTTTATAATGTTCATTAAATAATTTAAAAAACTTTATCAACTTTTAAACATTTATTTTTTAGTTCATTATATGATTTTTAACGTTCAGTAAAGTATTTTGAACATAACTGTATTGCTTAACTTTGATATTCTATAAATCAATCTTTAATTGGCATGATATTCTATAATATATACTGTATATATTGATGTATATTAATTTGTCAATTATTTATTTTAGGTATTCGATAGAAAAATGTTTATTACCAAACAATAAATATACCGACGTATGGAAATGTAGGAAACATATGCGGTGTCCAACTGTTGTTATAATTACTCTTTTCAAAGATATGTTATCCACAGTCGTTAGCCGCATTGCCTGCATTGTCGAGTTTTTACCCATTGAGGAATTACTTCATTATTGATTCTAATCAGGAGCGTAAAATAAGGGCTACAGTAAAAAATGAACAACAAATTAACCATAATTTTTTAAAATTGATGATTGCAACTATTTTACGCGGTACTAATAAGTGACATACTCTTTTTCAACATTTAACAACATTTTCCTACCGCTTTCTACCTTATTATACAATTGCGCATTATTGAGTAAACGTGTCAAAATATACAATTAAAATCCAGGAACAAGTCTATTTACTTTGTTTGCCTCATCTATTATTTTTTTTTTTTTTGTATCTGAGACGAATATATATCTAAACGTTAAAAAGAGACAGAGTAAAATCGCCTACTGCAAAAAAAAAAAACGCCCATAGATATCACATGCATACACATTCAGTAAAAGAACAGATTCCTGAAAGTGGATCGCTTCGAACGATTAACGCGCATTTTTGTACCAATGTAATTAAATTTTAATCTCGTACAACTAATTCTTCATCTTTTCCTAGTCCCACGAATTAAGATAAAGAGTGATTTGGACGACGATTAAAATTAGGCAACATTGGTAGAAACGGGCACAAGTCAGCCCTGGCGGAGGATGATTCGTAACTCCGGTGCACTCCGCAGCAGCGGTTGCCATGACGACCGTGATCATCCCACCACTACCTACTATCCGACGTAACCCGTCACTACACCACCACCAGGCACCACCACCACTATCGTATCCGTCGAAGAGCAGCGAAGAGGAGCAGAGCGCAGAGCAGGTCCCCTCCACGTTGCTACGTCAGTCGTTCGCAGTCGGTTCGTTCGTGTCGACAGGGGTTATCGCGCGCACGTTTTCGAGCGTTGGCGTGTGCGTGTGTATGCGCGCGCGTCGTCACACCTCCCTACATGTTTCGGTCGCGTCGTCGACGTCGTCTCGACCTCGGCTCGCGAGATCTCGTCGGATAAACGGCGGCGAGGAGTCCGCTTTTTTTTTCCCCGTCGCCTGCGAAAGCGAGACGACCGTTCGGCCACGACACCGAATTTCTGCGTCGCACCCGCGGATACTCCCTCACGTTCAATAATGAGGGACATGGCAGGTAAGATCGCCGAGTTGAAGTTCGAGGCACCCCTCGCGCGCTTCGAGGAGGAGGACACCGCCAGCCTGAAGAACATGAACATCCTGACAGGTGCGAAAACACCGCCTTGTTTACTCCCGCCTGGAGCACAGCTCAGCGACGCTGAGTTTGGCCATCAGGCCTCTCATCGTTATATCTGGGCCACTTTACGAAATTGGTGACAAACGAAGTAGTAATAACGCGATCTATTATTCCTACGTTAATTGGCGTAAATGGTATTGCGTGCTGCTTATTCTTCATCGCCTTTATCGCAGGCAGCTGAAACCTTCGTGGAAATAATATTAAATTATCAATGAATATTGCTCGCAGCGGCTACAGTGGTGATGTAATTCTGTACAGGGTCGTGCGACCCACGACCTGAATTTTGACTCTCTGAATATTTCTCTCCGATTAAATCGATCCCTCGTCCTCGCGAATGGATTAAGACCAGGTTCCAGCAACGTAAGGTTAATTTTAATCTCGGTTCAACTTATACTCTTCGTCGTTTTTTAATTTTCACAACTAGAAAAAGATGGAGAGTTAGTTGCGTCAAGATTGAAATTAAACTACATTGGCAGAAGTGGGCATAATTTTTATGAGTAAATTGAACCGAGATTAAAGTTCATCTTACGTTGATGAAACCGGACCTGAAAGAGGGAAGAAGTGCACGCAGTCCCAGACACGCGTTTCTCAGGCATCGACAGGTGTTACGAACCTCGAAATTTCGTGTAACGGGACACGGTATTAATAAAATTTTAGGCCTACTTGGCACTTTTAACGCTCGGTATGTTTAAAAGAATTCTATACTTGCGTGACAGCCAAAACAAATGGAAAAACGATAACGTCGGGTTTACTCGACTTACGTGTATTTCTATCAATGTATAGATTAACTTCAATCTTAATTAATTAACCTCTTATTCTTTTCTAATTCTTGGAAGTAAAAAAAGTAAATTAAGATTAAAGTTAATTTATTTTACATTGTTGCCCATTTCTATTCTACCAATGTAGATTAATTCTAATTTTAATTCAATTAATTTTTCATCTTCTAGGTCTAAGAATTAGAAAAAGATGAGGAGCAAGTTAATCTACATTGGTAGGGACGAGCATTAGACCGACCGCGGGTCTTCCTCCGAATTTATTTTTGTCGTTCGGTCACCGTGAAATCGTCGCCGGTTTAACGCAGTAGGATTTCTTCGAATTCACCCGAAATGTAGTATTTGCAAATACAGCAACGAATCAAACACAAGTTATTTTTCTATAGACACTCACAAGTCCTTGCCACGACGAGCCAATTCCATCAAGGCCGTTAATTATCGCCGCGATAATAACCGACTCTTTTTATTTCTTTCTAGATCATATATAGGGGATACAGATCATTTATTTAGATTTTTTTCATCTCTGAGAAAATAATGGCAATCTGTCGAGTCTGTGATCAATGTTTGCGGTGTGCTGCTTTATATTTATCTTTTCCAATGTTTAATTTTTCTCCGAGGCTTTATTCGCGGACTTTTTCTCTATTCAAGACTATCTGCATCGCAAAATTGGACTTGACATGGGAAGAAATATATGTATATGTGTGTGTGCGCGCGCGCGCGTGTGTTTGTGTGTGTGTGTGTGTGTGTTTTTATCTCGAGAGAGATGAGTAGATATATATCTACTCTTATTCAAACGACGACGAGCAGTGTCACATCCGATAACGCTCGATATTGCAATGTCAGTTGTCGCAACCTCGGTTCATCTTTGTGTCAATACCAAAGTGCGGAATTACATTAATGGTTAAATCCGAATTTTTTCTGATGAAAAAAATAATTGTGACATCGACGCCATTTGTGACTAAAACTATATATAGATTTAAAAAAAATTGCCACTAATAGACGTACCTACTTTGACAAAAATTATTTCTTGAGAACTTTGTATTGACATTCTTAAATTCGTGCAATTAAAGCTTGATTTGTAAGCTTAACTTTAATCTCGATTTAATTTACTGTTTATTAATTTAATTTACTGTTTGTTAATTTAAATTGATCTTATATTTTGATGAAATTAGTTACTCAGATTCAAGGATGTTAATACAAGTTTCTCCAAAAAACAATTTCTTTCAAAGTATGCTTATTGTTGACAATTTTTTAAATATATTTGAATCACAAATGACGTGACATCGATATTATTATTTTTTTTTTGTTGAAGAAAATTCGAATTTAAAAAGCCTTAACATTATGCTGCACTTTGATATTAAACCGAAATAAAATTTAATCTTACATTGATAGAACCAATTCTAAGAGATATATTTTAGCATATTTTTATTATATTGTCACATCTGTATTTTTTCTTTATCGTTTTCTCAAATGTGCAGAACAATTATTGGATGCCAGCCTGGATGCAAATTTCGGCGAGAACTGTAACGCGAATGAGCCGCCTACGACGCACGAAAGCGGCACCGACATCCTTCAGGAAGGAACGTTCAGCCCGTTCAGCGGTAGTCTCGAGGATCTCGTTAACACCTTTGACGAGAAGATCACATCTTGCTTCCGCGATTATGGCACTGACGTGGAATCATTGGCTCCGGTGCAGGTGCGAACGCAGGAGGAGATCATGAACGAGTGCCAGTAAGTCGTTCATAATTGATACTTGATCCTAATGATCTCAAAGCATCTATCGAGATGAGATTATACGACATAAGGGATACTCTAGTGGTATCACTTTTAATCCTTAATACATAACACTATTGAGCGCCAACGTAACTTTAATTTTAAGCGAGACTTAAAACTCTCTCCTTTTCTGTCTCTCTATCGGCTTAAAAAAAATAAATTAGAGATTTTTAAGCTGTCAAAGTAATGTTGGTGCAATTAGATCTGAATCATTTATATCCTAAGCATTCCTTTTCTTTGAAGTATTAGGGACATTTGGCTAAATAATAATCTCTATCTTTTCCTATTTTTAACACACTACTTCATAAATACTTTCTAGAAATGTTAAAGTATATGTAAGAATCACTTAATAATTTTTGTAAACTTGTAAAAGTATGTTTATCCAGGACATGAACTATCCATCGTAGATCTGTTCTTTCTAGCTGAAGTTCTTGCACGATTCATCTTTCTTCCACGTTGGAGAGGAAAAGAGAAAATATGAAGTATGCAAGAAGATCAACTGAAAAGAACAGGCCTTACGTAAAGGATCTAGAAATCTTGTAAAGTCTGACCACTAGATGGTTTGATTTCATCTGATCAAACATTTGATTAGCGTCATTTTTGTCAACTTCAGTAAGTTAGAAGGAATAAGATAGTAAAGTTAAAATGAGATATATCGAAAAAATAGTATATATACCCTTCTTTTTCACTCTTATTTTGACTAAATTGTTCATGGTCTCCAAAGGACTGGGATATCATCGCGTGTACTAAGAATTGGTAATTATATAGGTAAGAGTTTTCATCGTCGTTAAAAATCATCATCATCGCGTGCGCGTTTGACTCCATTGACGCAATTATTTTAATCAACCCTAATTAACCGTATTCATAAATGGTCGAAAATCTTTTCATGCGTACAATCATGCGGTTTTTCGGTTTGTATAACGAAAACCCAGTTATGAGTATACCGGTTTCACTGCGTAGAGTACACACGGGAAATAAATCAACGACGTGTCGACGACGCGTAGAATACACGCTCGGAGAAAATTACTAAGTAAACGCGTGCGTATTAAATCAACGTTTACGTTTTGCGGACTCCGGCTCCCTTCCGTTTCTTAGCTGGAAAGTGACGATTGCTACAGCGGAAATAATCACTTATTGCATTACCCCGTTAACCCGTTCGCTCGTCATAACACGCATGATACATAATACGCAATAACGGAGCATTCCTATCCAGAGAGTAGAACGCGGTCCAGTAATCTATCTTTCATCTTGATTACTCCTCGCTTACTCGCACTCTCTCTTTCTTCTTGTACTTCTCTTTCTTTAAAGCACGTCAGCAATTTCATTTAATGCTCCGTTTAATGCGATGCTGCAGCACAGTGCAACCCAATTAGATGTATGGTTTCACATCTGTATCAGCGAAGCGTTTAGTTGAGAGACTTGTATTAAAAATGTTCAAAATCGTTTTATACGTGACATAGTTTTAAATTAAATTACTCATTAAAAAATGTCATTTTATTACTAAGAAAAGTGATTACTCAATTGTTTTTCTTTTTTTTTTTAAGTAATAGTTATCTTTAACAAAGAATATTTTCTTGATAATGATCTATATATTGATTAGTACTAACTAAATATTTTCTAAATATAAATCTATATTTATTTGGATTACAAGAATTTGGTACCGTTAATTTGACTTGACAATATTTTTTTATTGAGTAAATATTTATTTATGGTAAATAAATATTTAGTTGGCACTATTTAAATAAATATTAGTTAAAATTTAGTACATTTTTTTCTTATTGTTAGTGTAGAGTTCAGAATTTTTTTATTTTGAATTAATTTGATGTTTGTGAAACTTAAGCTAGATTTAGAATATGTGAACTTTTGAAATGTCTGACATAAGTAATTATTATTTACGTAAAGTATGTATTTTTCTGTGTGTGAACTGGTTCTTTCTCTGCTATACAGATCATGCATGTTCATTTATAAGTGTGAATATCAATGCAACGTTTTGATCTCGCCATTTGAGACAGACATATTTTTTAAAAAATGTGAAATGGATAATAGAAAATGTAATTTCTTCTTGATACTCGACAGTAATCGATTTCCCAATGGAAGAAGTGTGTCGACACCGTTAGTACTCTCTACGCGATGTTTACGGCACATGTTGCAGCTTTCTCTCCAAAGTAGCCACAGCGTCGTCACTTGATATACAAAAATGCATCTCGATTTTATAATTCAAATATGAACATTTCCTTAATCCAGTTGTTTGACAATAGAATTACTATTGATACTGTTTTTCTACGAAACATTAATATCCATTTATCTATTAATTTTGAGTAATATTGTATATATATATATA